TTCAACGCTGATATGATAGTGCCTTCCTTTGGCGTATGATACTTGTAGAAAAGACGATTCACCGAGTTCTTAAGTTGAGTCAAGTTCTTACATTTCTGAAAGATTTCGCCCGTGTCTTCGGGTGAATATGTTTTGTAAGTGTTTCTTGTTAACAAATTCAGTACCTTGGACCCTAATGAAGGTTTATGAGAAGTAGCTTTAAGTTTAGGCTGTAAGAAACCATAAAATTGAGAAAATTGAGGTATGACATCGGTTACAAAGTTTCTCTTCAGAGAAGCTCGAAGCATCGCACGTAAATGCGTGTGTATTCTACATCCTGACGAATTAAATTAAGGCATGATCGGCGATCGATAATCCGCTCAATTTAACTATTTAAGTTACTGTATTACTGCATGAGATTAATTGTTCAAAAGTTTTCAAATTCTCTAAATATACTGTAATTATTGGAAATAAAAAAGTTACTCTTTTTTAGAAAATAATATATAAAAATATTTTATATTTTAATCTAAAAAATTATTGTTAGTTATTATTTAAATTATTATTTTAATATAAACCTGTAATTTTAAAAAACAAAAATATTGCTAATTTATTAAATAAATTATTTGCAATTGAATAAATTATTTATTTTTTACTATTTTATTATTAATCAAAAATATTAAAGATATATTTATAACAAGATTTATTTTATTATTCAAGTAATTTTTATATTATATGATTTTATTATTTTAATATATTTTTTTTAATAATTAATATTAAAAAAACTTGTAAAATTTAATTGTTTTTATTAATTAAAATAATAAATCAAAGTTTTTTAAAACAAAAAAATTTTTTATTGAGAGCTTTATTAAAGATAAAATTCAAGTTTTTAAATATATGTTTTTTTTCATATAAATAAATAAATAATAATAATATAATATTATGTTATATACAGTATATTATAAAAAAATCTATAATTATATTTTTATTTATAATTTAACAAAAATTATTAAAAAAAAAAATAATAAAATTTAAATATAATTAAATTAACAATTATAAAATAATTTTATTATTTATTATTTAAAGTTTTATCAAAAATTTTATATTATACTTTTTAATTTCTTTTTTAATTTTTGTTTTAAAAAAAAGTAATATAAATATATATTTATATGGGTTTTTGTTTTTGAATAAAAGATTTTAAAAAGTAAAATAAAAAAACAAATTAATAAATTTTTAATTAAAATATTTTATTTAAATTTATATTAAATAAATGCTTGTTTAATAATTATTAAAATTTCAATTATGATAAAAAATTTGCAGATTTTTTGTAATATATTAAATATAATTTATATAATGTTTTTAAAATACTTTATTGTAATATATTTTATATATAAAATAAAATAATAATAATAAAATATAATATAAAATATTAATATTAATAAATATGTCATATGTTAATTATTAATTATTAATTATAAAGACTTTTAATTAAAATTATTTATATTGATATAATAAAAAACAATTAATTTGTTACTTGCTTAAATATCTTGTTATATAACTTATAAAATAGCCAAATAAATTTGTATTATATTATTTAATTATATAAATTATAATTATATTATTTAACTATAGAAATTATAATTATACTAATTGTTTCTTTTTAAAAAAAAAACAAAAGAGAAATTAAATTTGATTAATATTTTATATAAGTTGTATAATTTAATACTTAAAATAAATATACCGTATTTATTAATAATAAATATCAATGCGTAAATATTTTTAAAATATAATTAAAATTAAATAATTTAAATTGTAAAATTTTTTATGCATTAAAATTTTATTGCATTTATTCTTAATAAAACTTTCCAATTAAAATTATCTATAATTATCTAAAATTCTCCATTATTCTATTTTTAAATATTATCAAAAATAATTACACTGCTTTTAAAGTCAATTTCTAATCAACTACTAATATATTTTCGATCTCATCAACAGTTTTAGCAAGAATAGTTGCTGGAAATTCATATCTATTTTT